GATTAATTGCACTGGGAAAATCTGTTGTCAGGGACCTCTCCAAAGTACTAAGAAGCAACAATGTCAGTTTAGAGACTAAGGGGCACCTGATCCAGGTCATGGTCTTCACAATTACTTGCTATGCACCAGAGATCTGGGTAATGACTAAGGATGACAGAAGAATTGATGCTGTTGAGTTGTGTTGGAGAAGAGTATCAAACATACCATGGACCGCCAAGAGAACAAATATGTCAGTCTTGGAGAGACCAAATTTCTTCTTGGAGGTGAGGATTTTGAAGCCCCGTCTCACATACTTTGAGCATGTGGCCAAGAGGAACCAGTCCTTGGAGAAGGACATCATGCTTTGAAGGATGGAGGGTTAGTTCAGTAGAGAAAGACCCTGGATGAAATGAGTTGATACAGTAACTGGGGTGTGGAGATAGGTGTTCAGAGTCAGTGAGACTGGTTCAAGATGGAACAGGGTTCACAGCTATTGTTCATAGTGTCACTATGAGTCTCAGGTGACTCAATGGCATATAACAGCAGCAGCATGTATTTTTTATTACTTTTTTTTTTAATGTGTGTACCATCAAATCAGATCTGACTGGTACAGGAGGAGATTGTCCCTCCTTCTTCAGCAGAGCATCAGGTGGATTCGAACCTCACATTTCTGGGACTGCAGTACAATTTCTTGCCACCAGGCCACCAGAGCTCACTAGCAGCATCATATATGAAGGGAGCTCTGGTGTCTTAATGGTTAAGAAGAGCTGTCAACTCAAAGGCAGGCAATTTGAATCCACCAGCTGTTGCACAGAAGATGGGAAGTCTCCTCCTGCGTGATTTACAGCCTCTGAAACCCACTGGAGGGTCAACTATGAGTCAGTTACAACTCCATGGCACCTAATAACAATAACAATAACAATAACAATAACAATAACATATTTATATATGAGGGAGCTCTAGTGCTGTAGGTTGCACTGGGATTGCTCTACTAACCCATAGGCCATGCCTGTTAGTGGTTTGGACCCACCAGTGGCTCTCCAGGAGAACAGGCCATCTCCTCCTGTGTAATTTACAACCTCAGATCCCCACAATCAGCAGTAAACTCATACTGACTCAAGGACAAGGAGTTTAAATTTGGGTTGAGCTATATTTGTACATAACAAATCCAAAAAGTTAGAAAATGTATTTTAAAAAATAAAAGATACAAAAAGCCTATCACATCTAGAAATAGATCTAAAATAAGATGTGTAAAACCTTAGGGAGAAAATGATAAAACTTAACTAAAAGGCATTAAGGAATAACTAAACAGATGGAGAAAGATATCATGTTAAAAAATTGGAAGATGATATTATAAAGTTATTAATTATCCTCAAAGAATTCTGTAATTTCAATGCAATCCCAATGGAAATCCCAGTAGAGTTTTTCATGAAACTTGAAAAACTGAATCTAAAATTTATATGAGAAATCAAAGGGGGGAAATTTCCAGGACATTTGTGAAGAAAGAGCTGAAGTGGGTGGGGAGACTAGTCATACCAGATATAAAATGTTATCAGAAAGTATTAAATTAATATAGTGGGGCACTGGTACAAGAGTGGAAAAATTTATCTCAGTGGGTCAGAATTGAAAGTTCAGAAATAGATTTGCCTTTCTGTAACTCAGAATCAACTTAATGGCACTAGGTTTATTTTTTTTTTGGTTGTGAAAGGAAAATCTTCACAACTTTAAAAAGAATATATTAGACAATCTTTTGTGACATCAAGGAGGGAAGGGTTTTTAAAACAGGAAATAAAAAGGGTTCACTGACATTGTTAAAGAACATTTATTTATTAAATTTAAGAAATTTTGTTCAAAAAAAGCAACACTAAGTTGTGAAGATATAAGTCATGAACTGGAAGAGGCTGTTTGTAATACAAGCCACTGATAAAAGATCAGTTTTCAGAATATATGAAGCTCTCCTATGGATCAAGATAGAGAAAAATGAACACGCAGAACAAAAAATAGAGCAAAGGACATAGGCGGATATTTCATACAGGAGGAACACAAATGACAAATAATCCAAGAACAGACGTTCAGATTCATTGGTAATTTTGTTGTTAGGTGTTGCCAGGTGAATTCCAACTCACAGCAACTCTGTGCACAATAGAAGGAAACCTTGTCTGACCCTGTGACATCCTCGCAATCTGTGCATAAATTCATCTTCCTCTTTTTTTTTTTTATGATCTTCTGTTTCTCCCCTCTTGATAACGTTCCCAAAGTATGAGATGAAACCTCACCATCCTTGCTTCTAAAGGTCATGGCGGCTGCCCTTCCTCCAAGGAAGTGTTATTTGTTCTTTTGGCTGTCCATTGTATATTCAGTATTCTTTAACAATACCACAATGCAAAGGCATCAGTTCTTCAGTTTTCTTCATTCACTGTCCAACTTCTACAAGGATATGAAATCATTGAAAATATCATGACTTGAATCAGGTGCACCTTAGTCTTTCAATGAAAATCCTAGTCTTTAGCACCTCAGTGTAGTCCTCTCGTAGCAAAATTGCCCAGTGGAAATGCAAATTAAGATTCCAACAGGATATTGTTGTAAATACTTGAATAACAACTATTATTATATTTGATACCAACATTTGGGGAGCAAGTGGATGCTGAGAGCTCTGGTGGTGCAGTCTGTGGCTCAAATCTACCAGCAGCTCTAAGGGAGAAAGAGGGACAGTCTCTTTCCGTTTGATTTACAGCCTCAGAAACCCAATGGAGCATCAGTTATGAGTAGGGTCTGACTCAATTGCAATAGGAGTATTAATAATAGGTATGAATTGTTACAAACTTTCAGAAAACAACTTAGCATTATCTAATAAAATTCAAAGTTCCACTTCACAGCAAATCTATTCCAAGGTAAGTGCCCTACCCTACTGCCATCCCTCTTGCTGTCAAATAATATTCTGACTGATATGAACCCTCATTGGATTCCCAAGGCTGCTTTACGGAACAAACTCTCCATTTTTTATCCCTCAGAGCCGCTGGTAAATTCGAACTGGTGACCTTTGGGTTAGAAGCTCAATACATAACACTGTGCCCCCAGAGCTCCACTCTAGGAATTCCTAACTATAAATACCAAGAATGTTTATAATGTCGAAAACAGATATAATGTTCATTCACAGAAAATAAATGGTAGCTATCAAGATCAGTATGGATGAATCTTAAAAAGATACTTAGTGAATAATGGGGAAAAGTTCAAAACACAACAGACGAACAGGATGTGTTGTCCTTTTTAGTAAAAGCTCAAAAGCAGTTAAAGTAAACTGTATGTTACAAAATGCACACACACAAAAAACTATATTCTTTTTAAAGAAGTACAGAAATTACAATACAAATTTCAGGGTAGATGTTACCATTGGTGGAAGGGCAGGTGGATGGGAGAGGGGCGTACAACAGTATGGGTTATTATGTTCTGGTTCTGCTATTTTGTAGCACGTTTATTTTTCTAATGCTTTGTAATCTACATTGCAGTTTATCAGTCTTGACACTATTGACATTTTGAACTGAATAACTATTTGTTGTGGGCAGCTGGCCTTCACATCTCTGGCTTTTACCCACTAAATTCCAATAGTACACACACACAAACACACACAAACTCTCACTCTCTCTCCCCCCCCAGTAGTGACAACCAAAAAGAAAGTCTCTAAACATTGCCAAATGTGCCCCGGGAGCAAAACCACCCCTACCGGTAAACCATAATTCTGCACACATATAGTGGGATATTTAAAATTTTCCACACACACAAAAAAAACACATCCAAGTTTTAAAGTGATGGGTAGGAGTCTCAGTGTGCCTGTGAAGCACCAGTAGGAAATAATCATGAATAGCTGAGAAATCCAGAGGCTGTGGAAGGTCTTTGAAGTGACAGTGCAGCGCAGCATGAGCTGACAGTTTCGGGAGGGTTTGACTAGCAGGTGATATTTCTAAAAATGATCTCGGGTATCAGAAAATCAAGCACTCAGTATGCATTGGAGGAAAATTTTTGCCACCTTTCTCAGCTTTTTTGGGCAAAATCTAAAAGCTTTCTAGAACACTGATGTATAGTTTTTTTAAAATGCAATTATTTTTCTCCAAAGAAACAGAGACTTCAGTTTACATTGCCTCCCTCCCCCGCCCCCAAGAAAGAAAAGAGGCTGATTTATTTGACTCCATCTAATTCTTAGTGCACCCTTGGAGGGGATGGACTTGTGCTGTAGGCCCTTTTAAGTCCTTTTGGAAAGAGGTTCTTACTTTCACTTTTTAAATGAAGAAACATATAGACACAAAGAGAACACATGATTTTTTCAGAATGACTAATCAAGAGCAATTTCTTAGATATGGAATTGGCAGGAAATACAAGTCTTCAGTGTGTTGAACTTTATGCTTTTTCCAGTCAGCTCTGAACTGTCTGAGGCATGTGTGAGTGTGCAGGTGTGTGAGCTGTGTGTGAGTGTACGTGTGTGTGGATTATGGTTGGCTGTGTGCTTCTCTGAAGACAGATATCAAGGAGAAGACAAGACCAAGCACTAAAGAGAAAATTAGGAGGAGCAATATGATTGAAAGAACATCAGCTTCAGAAGACACTTTGGGCAAGTTCACTCTGGTTCTCAGAAGCTTTAATCATAAAAAATCATAGAATGATTGCAAACACTAAATGGACCATGTATTTAAAAGTACTTTATGATTCTGTGTGCAAACATAATTATTAGGACTGATATTAAAAGTGTATTGTGCATTATAAAACAATCCTCACAGACAAGATGTCTCCCTCCATTTTTATTTTCTTGACACTAGTTCAAGGGAGCATTGGTGACCTAATGAGTAAGCAATTGGTCAGCTAACTCAAAGGCAGGCAGTTCAAATCCACCAGCTGCTTCTCAAGAAAAAGAGGGGCAATGTCCTCCTGTAAGATTTACAGCCTCTGAAAACCCTCTGGAGAATCAGTTATGAGTTGATTCCAGTTCAAGAGCAATGAAAGAGATAGAGAGAAATACTGAGAGTTCTTACCATATGTCCAGCTCTGAAGAATATTCAGTGGCTCCCAACAAGGCATCTGGAGGGCGGTACCAGAGGGTTACAACTTCAGAAGAATATGTCTGGCTGGGAATGGACTTGGCCCGAGCAAGACCTGTCCAAAGGTGAAACAAAGAGAATCCTTTGTCCTGGTACATCCTGCAGAGATAGAGCGATGCATTCCACCAGGAAGATACCAACTGGTAAAGAACAATGTAAAATCATTTGCCCCATGGGTACTATCTCATCAAGGGAATTTCTCAATCTTTGGCATGCTTTGCAACTAGATGTTACTGTCCTAGCAGTTAGGTATGTTAAGGTGACTAAGATCTTGTCTATATGATATGAGTAGAAATTATGAATTTCTAGTCCATGTCCTTAATGGAGAGATCAAGTACTCCCCTTTCCTATCTCTTAACTTTAGGCTGGAATGAAAACATGCCACTGTGAGCTTGGCAATTCTGAACTGCGTAGGTGGACCTGTTATGTGAGCGGAAAAGAAAATTCTAGATTGTTGAAGCCTCTCTAGTTTTGGGTCCTGGTATAACTGACTCTGTTCTATGGCTGCCCTTCTTCCTTTTCTTCTCTATACTTTAAAAAAATTCTTAAATAATATTTATTGAGCTCTTCATTTTTGCAGTCAGAAACACCATGTTTATCGTGGTAATTGCTAACTCAAATTAGTTAAGTTTGGTAGGACTTTATGAGTTTCTCAAGGACTTCCCTAAAAAATGGGCTTTTTTCTCTCAGCCAGTCAATTATATAATGGCATGATCTATAACTCGGAAGGATTTCAATAGATGAGCTTTCTGTTGTGACAAATTGGTAAATGAACATTGAGTGCCTACACATCAGGATGAAAGATGCATTTCAGAATAAAGTACAGCTATATCGAGTACCACCATTTCATCTGTCAAACAAAATAGAACTGTGGCTCAAACCAGATGAAATCAGTTTTGAACAAATAGATACTGAGCTCTAGCCACAGCACTAGGCATTAGGGACACATTCATAAGCAAAAGCAGAACTAATCCCTGCCCTGAAAATGCTTCTAGTCTAGATCATTGACCCTCTAGAGTGCTTTCAAAGGCTGTACATCTCAAAGCTAGGGATTGCTCATCTTTCTCCTGGGCTCTATCGGTGGGTTTGAAGCACCAATGAAGCTCTGCCTTCAGGTTAACAGTGCAATTAGCCTCTACATCTTTTTGCCATCAAGTCAGAAGCATAGCTGACCATACAACAGATTTTCAGAGGGGATGCTGGGCTCTATGAGGAAAATGTGGCATAAGGATTGGATATAGACTCATCAACAATCCGCATTATGCAGATGACACAATCTGAATCTTAGGATGACCTGAAGCGCTTGCAGCAGAAGGTCAAGAATTGAGAACCCAGTTTTCAATATGGACTGAAGCTCAATATCAAGAAAACAAAGATTCTCACCAGTGGGCCAACTGGCAGCATCATAAAAGACGGTGAAGAAATTGAGATTGTTAACAGCTTTAGTTTGTTTGGCTCCACAATCATCACTTTTGGTACCAGCAGCCAGAAAATTAAAAGATGTCTTAATTGGGAAAGTCTGCTATTAGAGACCTCTCCAAAGTACTGAAGAGCAATGATGTCAGTCTGGAGACTAAGATGTGTCTGATACAGGCCATGGTCTTTGCAATCACTTGATACGCATCAGAAAGCTGGACAATGACTAGGGATGATAGAATGAGAACTGATGCCTTTGAGCTGTGATGTTGAAGAAGAGTATTGAATATACCATGGGCTGCTAGGAGAACAAATAGGTTCATCCTAAAGAGGATCAAAGCAGGCTGCTACTTGGAGGCAAATATTCTGAGGCTTGGTCTGACATACTTTGGACATGTTGCAAGGAGGTACTAGTCCTTGGAGCGGGACATCATGCTTGGGAGGCTGGAGGGACAGCACTAAAGAGGAAGACCCACTCAGCAAGAAAACTACTGGACATAGTTGACCAATTCAGCAAAGTGGCAGGTACTGATCAACATACAAAAATCAATTTGATTTCTCTACAGTGACAAAGAGAATACAGAACTGGAGCTAAGAAAAACAATAACCATCACAATAGCAAATCACAAAATTAAATACTTGGGAGTAAATTTAACTAGAAACACAAAGGATCTATTAAAAAATAATAAAGCAATACTACAAGAAACAAAAAGAGACCTAAAGAAATGAGAGAATATACCTTGCTCATGGATAGAAAGCCTCAATATTATGAAAATGACAATCCTACCAAAGGCAATTTACATCTTCAACACAATCCCAATACAAATACCAATTCCATTCTTCAATGAGATGGAAAAACAATCACCAATTTCATTTGGAATGGAAAGAGACCCCAAATAAGTAAAGCACTCCTTAAAAAGACAAATAAGGTAGGAGACATCTCACTCTCTGATTTCAAATCCTACTACACTGCCATGGTAGTCAAGACAGCACGAGACTGATCCAATGATAAACACATAGATCAATGGAATAGAATTGAGAACCCAGAAATCAGCCCATATATCTCTGGTCAACTGATTTTTAGCAAGGGGAGAAAATTAATTAAGTGGGGAAATGACAGCCTTTTTAACAAATGGTGTTGGCAAAATTGGAAAACCATCTTCAGAAAACTCAGGCAAGAACCACACCTCACATCATATACAAAAACCAATTCAAAGTGGATCAAGTACCTAGGACTAAAAGCAAGGACTATAAACTTCATTAGAGAAAAGCTCAGAAGAACCTTAGAAACCCTGATCCACAACATGAACAGTCTTCCAAGTATCCTGAAAAACGTACATCCTGGAGAGGATAAAATAGATGAATGGGACCTTCTTAGAATCAAATTCCTATGTACATCCAAGAATTTCCTTCTTCAACAGGGTAACAAGGGAAGCCATAGACTGGGAAAAATATTTGGTAATGACGTGTCTGATAAGAGATGAGCACCATAGTAAGATAAAGGTAAACAACTCAATTGTAAAATGGGCACAGGATATGAACAGACACTTCACCAAAGAAGACATTCAGATGTCAAACACACACATGAAGAAATGTTCAAAATCCCAAGCTCGAAGAGAGATGCAAATCTAAACAATTATGATATATCATTTCACCCCAGTAACAATAGCAAAACTCAACAGAGCAGCAAACAACAAATGCTGGTGAGGTTGCGGAGAAATTGGAACCTTTATTAATTGTTGGTGGGAGTGTAAAATGGTGCAACTACTCTGGAAGGCGGTATGGCATTTTCTCAAAAAGTTAGAAATAGAAATACCATTTGACCCAGCAATTCCAATACTGGGAATACATCCTTAAGAGACCAGAACTGCCACCCAAACAGATACATGCACACCCATGTTTATTACGGCCTTGTTCACAAATAGCAGAGTTGGAAACAACCCAAGTGCCCATCAACCAACAAATGAATAGAGAAGCTGTGGTATATTCACACAATGAAATACTATTCTGCATTGAAAAACAAGGAACTCATGAACTATTATACAAAATAGGTGACCTTGGAGGACATTATGCTGAGTGAACTATCTCAGTCACAAAAGGACAAATACTGCATAATGCCACTGTTACAGAACAAGACTGATTTGGGGGAAACTAAGAAAAGAGGGGATAAATAATGTACACTGCATTGAAACATGATGAAACATGATTGAAAAAGATGAGGGAGAGAACTGTATAAAAGCTATATATGATTAGGTATTATTGGCATGACAAGAGTCAAGAAAGTATGGAAGCTGCATAGTAAAGTGGTTTAGGGAGGAACTGTATAACAATGAAGGAATTTTTTCTTTCTGAAGAGAAAAGCAAAGTGGGAGGGAAGAAAATGTGCAACAATGAATGAATGGAAATCCAAGTTCTCTATAAACTTTCATTAAAATCTCAATAAAAAAAGACATTGATAGAATATCAGTTGAGGTATTTCAATTAAAAAAATCAAAACACCAAACAAAAATGACATATCATCTCATCCCAGCAATAACAGCAAAGTTCAACCAGGCAGCAAACAATTAATGCTGGTCAGGTTGTGGGGAGATTGGAACTTTTATTCACTGCTATTGGGAATGTAAAATGAATGGTACAACCACTATGGAAGGCAGTCTGGCACTTTCTCAAAAAGTTGGAAATAAAAATACCATTTAAAAAAAAGAGAGAGAGGAAGACCCTCAATGAGAGGGATTGATTCAGTGACTGGGTAATGGGGGTAGGTGTGTTGGAGATAGTGAGATTAGCACAGGATAGAGCAGGGTTTAGGGCTGTTATGAGTTGCAGGTGACTTGATGGCACATAACAATACAACAACAATATATTGCTTGGGAGGAGATTGTCCATCTCTTTCCCATGAAGTAGCTAGTGGATTTGAACTGCCTGCCTTTAGTTGTCAGTGCATCTCCTTATCCACTAGGTTACTAGTAGATAAGGCAAAACCATCACACAGAGATAGCCTTTTACCCTGCCATTCTGGTAAATGTTGATCTACTCTGACAGAATTTATACATCTGCTAAGATTGAGTGAAACCTACTAAGTACAATTCTCTCTACAGATGTATAGTGTATATTTAAAAAATGATAGTGGGGGGCCTAAGGGGACCCACATTTTGGGCAGCTGATTGGCCAGGGTCTTGATGGAATCCTAAGAAGCTGCTCATCCCCCCTCTTTCTTGCCTCCCACTCCGTATATGGTAGTTTGATATCCCCACAAAGCATCATGTTCCCCTGGCCTCCAGTTTTCAAAGGCCAGGCCTAGTCAATGCTTTACACATGTGCGCACAAAAGCTGCATTGTTCACAGCCCAGAAGGAGACCCGAGGGGCGACTTACCAAAATCAGCCAGTTTGAGCTCTCCCAGGTGACTGATGAGTAAGTTCTGAGGTTTCAGGTCCCTGTGAAGAACGTGTTGGTGGTGGATGTATGCCAGGCCCCGCAAAAGTTGAAACATGAAAAGCTGGAAGGAATGAACACCATACTAAGCAGATTTGAGCCACTATGTGTTGATTTCCCCTCTAAATCAAAAACAGTCATCTGAAAGAATATAGTAAAAGTGTCTCTTGAGAAACTGAAAAGAAATGAACTTTTTTTTTTTTTTTTTTTACATTGAGAGAGAGAGGTAGGGGGCCAGAAAAGCTCAAGGCAAGGCCGGCAACTAAACCATGTTCTAAACAAAGAGATCCTAGCTTTCCCTGACATCCCATTTCTTTGATAATGAAGGAATTATCCTTCCTTAAAAATCTAAAGTAAGACTTTGAAGTTTCATTTGGAACACTAGTTATTGATTTAAATGTGAAAGTTTTCTTTTTTTTACATTTTTTCCCCCACCAATGAACTTGGCATTTAAGATCAAAGTTGACCTGGAAATTATATTCTAAGGTTTGCAACTGCTTGACTTTCCCAGGCTCCTGATATGAAACTCTTTAAATAACTCAACACAAGGAAACCAGACTGGGAAATATAGTCTTAGATGGTATTAGGAAATAAAGGAATCATTATCTTTTAAAACCTATTTTTAAAGTCTTAAGTTCAAATTAGAAATCAAGGGAAATACAGTACAGATTAAGAAAGACCAAAAGAAATTAGACCTCATCCCTGAGCCTCCCTCCCCCAAATATCAAAAGAGAGACAGGAATGAATAAATGAGAGAAAAAGGCAAACAAGCAAACAGGAAAAATATATTTCAATCCAAATTTAAAGTGTTTCATGTGGTTATGAGGCACAGAAACCCAAGACACCAATATAGATGTTTAAGGAATAAAAGAATTCTCAGTGTCCTGAGTATCTTCTGCTATTTTCCAGCGCCACTGGCAATTGAGAATTCAAAAACCAACTCCGTGTTCACAACAGCCTATGCCAACCGAGAACATGTTCTGGCAATTGGGAGAAGTTAGAGCCAGAGCTATCATTCGTGAGACACAGGCAAAATGGCAGCTGCAGAGCTGGGCGCATAAATCCTCTTTTTCCACTGCACCTTGGAAACTAGGAGCTTCAGAGATGCTAAGACATGCACAGAGGTAACAATGGCCTGGAGACAATGGAGTCAAGTTAATGAAGAGCGTCAGTGTCTGGTTCTGAAACAGAAGCCAGGGGAGTTTACCTGCAACAGCACACCTGTGGCTGTGAATGTTCCATGCAATTCTCACGTGAGGTTTCCAAGCCGCTTAAGAAGGTTGAGAATGTCTTCCAACCCTTATTTCATGTGTTGACTGGCTATGTGAGTCTCCCCTGTACTTTCTTTGTCTGGTGCTTTAGACACACAGACATTTTATCACAAACCACACCACCAGACTACCAGAGCACAGAATGCGTACACTGGCATATAAGTCCTTTCCTTGGTAATCAATGTAAATATTCATGGAAAAGACAAGATAAAGAATCAATTAAATTCCAAGTAAAAGATAAGATACCATAACATATGCTTAAGAGTGTGTTTTTCAATGTGAAGGGAATAAAGAGAAGGGATTGGAGACAGGTGGGAGGCAAAAGATAGAAACGTGGAGACAGGTGAAGGCTAGAGAAGAAAATAACATTATCTTTGTAATCCTCATTACAAACCTGTAAGTAAGTATGCTTGTCCTCACTTTACAGATAAAGAAACTAGAACCTAAAGAAGCTTTAAAAACATGTCTAGGAAGAGTTAGGGCCAGGACTCAAATTCAGACCTGCCTGACTCCACTAGTCCCTCCTAAGAAACTGGGAAAAAGACAGAAAATTAAAACATGACAGAGGAGACGAGAGTTGGATGGCTGAGTCAGAGACAAGCTCCTTAGTGGGTCAGCTGGAAAGCCTTTCATGTTCAGGGTATACATTGTTCTCACTAATTAGTCACACCGACCGCCCACCTTCTTACTCTTCTATTCTTTTTCTGTCTGCACTTAACTGTTATCTACAAGCACTTGTATACAGCAAATCTCTTCAGTGTTAAGGTTTGGATTGTATAGCTACATTTCTAAAAACTCCAGCTTGGGCTGACCAACCTCACCACCCACTGACTCTCATTCCTGGCAACTCAGATTTTTTCCTTCAGCACTGCTGAAACTTCTTCAATTGTTGTTGTTATGTGCTGTCGAGTCGTTTGCGATTCATAGTGACCCTATGCACAACAGCCCTACACCGTGCCAATCTCACTGCCTCTGACACATTCATCCCGATTACCCCAGTCACTCAATCAATCCACCTCATAGAGGGTCACCCCCTTTTGCGCCGTCCCTCCACCCTCCCAAGCATGAGGTCCCTCTCCAAGGACCTCTCCCTCCTTACAACATGTCCAAAGTATGTCAGACGAAGCCTCAGAATCCTTGCCTCCAAGGAACAGCCTGGTTTAACACTCTCCAGGATGAATCTGTTTGTTTTCTTGGCAGTCCATTGTACATTCAATATTCTTCTCCAGCACCACAGCTCAAAGGCATTAATTCTCCTTCGATCCTCCTAAGTCATTGTCCAATTCTCTGATGTATAACAAGTGGTTGCAAAACATAGCCTGTATCAGACACACCTTACTCTCCAGAGTGACACCATTGCTCTTCAGTACCCTGGAGAGGTCCCTAACAGCAGACTTTCCCATCACAATACGTTTCTTTTTTTTTCATTTCCTGGCTGCTGGTGCCAAGAGTGTTGACCGTGGAGCCAAGCAGACTAAAGTTGTTAACAATCTCAATCTCTTCACCATCCATCCTGATGTTGCCAGTTGGTCCAGTGGTGAGAATCTTTGTCTTCTTGACATTGAGCTTCAATCCACACTGAAGGCTGCAGTCCAAACACTTCATGTCCTCCTCAGCTTCAGCAAGCAGGGTTGTTTTATCTGCATAAAGCAGGGTTGTTAATAGATCTTCCACCAATCCTGATGCCACACTTCTCCTCATAGAGCCCAGCCTCTTGGATAATCTGTTCTGCATACAGGTTGAAGAGAAATGGAGATAGGACACATCCCTGGTGTACGCCTTTCCCAATTTTGAACCATGCAGTGTTTCCTTGCTCTGTTCTGACGACTTCCTCTTGGTCCAAGTATAGGTTTTGCATTAGAGCGATCAAGTGTTCTGGGATTCCCATTCTTCTCAGAGTCAGCCACAGTTTGTTATGATCCACACAGTCAAATGCCTTTGCATAATCAATGAAACACAGATACACATTCTTGTGGTATTCCCTGCTTTCAGCTAAGATCCATCTAACTTCAGCTGCAATATCCCTAGTTCCACCTCTTCTAAACCCAGCCTGGACTTCTGGCAGTTCTCTGCTGATGTGCTGTTCTAGTCGTTTTTGGATAATCTTCAGTAGAATCTTGCTTGCATGTGAAATCAATGATATTGTTCTGTAGTTTCCACACTCTGTTGGGTCACCTTTCTTTGGAATGGGAACAAATATAGATCTCTTCCAGTCAGTTGGCCAAGTGGTTGTTCTCCATATTTCTTGGCACAACTTGGTGAGCACGTCCAGGACAGCATCTGTTATCTGTAATCTTCAATTACTCCCTCATAATATAACCAAATCCAAGGCTCTTTTATCAGTAAACATTAAGATAGATGGAGGAGGCTCTTGCCAGAGAGGCTTCTCATACTGTTCTAGCACAAGAAGGTTCTTGGGAACAAAATCATTCCACTGGGCTAGTACCATCTGGACTAGGAGCTCTTGTGGACAAACACAATCAGTTCAGTTAGCACTAACTCCACCTAGGGAAACTTGTGTCCTTCCAGCCACCAGAGAGCTTTGGGACACATTGTAGTAGAAACTGGAAACAGGCATAGCTCACAATGTCTACTTTGGCTGCTCTCTGATGAACCTTATTTGCCTCTCTGTTTCCTCTTTCTTATCCCCATAGCCATCGTCCTTTACTCTCCCCCACTCTTTTGATGTTCACTCTACTCCTAAATCATGGTTTTAAAAGTCCCTACAACCTAAATTCTTCAATAAGTTTTCTTTTGGTTCCTTTCTTCAAATGAGGCCATAAGTTCCCTGCTTCCCTATACTATCCCTAAGTTGTTCTCAGTGCTGTTGAGTTGGTTTCGACTTTAACAACACATTGAGAAACTCAGCACCCTCCCTTCTGAGGAGCATGCAGGGTGTACTTCTGTCAAGATAAATTTGTGTGTTCTTTTGGTTCAAAATTCATTGCTACTGAGTTGGAACCAATTCATAATTGATCCTCCAGCATGTTTTCAGAGGCTGTAAATCACACACGGGAAGAGATTGCCACTTATTCCTATAGAGCTGCTGCTGGATTCAAACTGCCTACCTTTAGGTTGGCAATACAAATCATTATCCATTAAGCCACCCTTTACCAATAATATCCCAATTCAAAGATACACACACAAAAAATCCCTTTGGTCTTCCTATTAATTGTTAAACTTCCACATACATATGAGGTAATTAAAAATAGCATGGTGTAATATCAGGTGTACCTTATGCATAAAAGTGAGTTTTGCTCTTTAGCATTCTCAAGTAGATGCTAGTTTTGCTCTAGCTTCCTCATATTTTTAAGTCACTGAGAGGTGGGGTCAGCTGCGTCTGCTTTCCCTGGTATCACTTCAAAACTATAACCTCTCCATCTTTGTTGAACACACAAGTAGTTCCTTGTATTTTACATTCTGTTCGGCTACATATTTCTTTATCCTGTTTCACAGCCATCCTCTGACCTCCCTATTGCTCTCTATCATTCATTGCAGAATTTTAATCTTGTTTCAGCTGTTGCCCCATAATATCAATGCTCATGAGACTGACTCAAGGAAACCCCCTCACCCAATAATAATAATCTCTGATCCTCTTCAGCCACTCATTCCCATGGTCATACTTGGAATCTTGCCACCATGTGGTATATTTGTCCTCTGAAATGTGAAATTCATCAAAAAATAAAATGGCTTCTGTAATGATCACTTTATTCCAGATGTGATAATCAATGCCTTTGTCATGAAATCCCATGGATACCTCTGTAAGTATATCCTTATCTTTTAAAGGGTTTCT